AGGGCGAGGGCGCAGGGCGGAGGGCGAGGGCGAGGGCGAGGGCGAGGGCGAGGGCGATGGGTGAGGGTAAGGCGGCGCGGGCGGAGGCGCGCGAGGGCCGCAGGCGAGGGCGAGGGCGTGGCGGCAGGTCGTGGACCGGCGGATGACAGGCGGTGAAGGGGGGAGGACGTGGGAGAAATGACAGCCGGGGGGGGGAGGGCGTGCGGTGAGGGGCGGTGGTCGGACGGCATTGAGTAGGGTGAGGGGCGACGGGGCGGGGCAACGGGAAGGTGCGGGCGGTGGTCAAAGCATGAGGGGTGGACGGGGAAGAGGGCGTGGGGCGGGAGGGATAGGCAAGGGGTATTGAGGCGCATGGAGGGGCGCGACGGAGCCATAGCGAGGTCGTGGCAGGAATGTTGAGGTGGGTAGAGGGGTGAGGGCGTGCCAGGGGCGTTGGAGGAGAGAAGGTGAGGGTGTCCTGGGGCGATAAGAGTGCTACAGAGGTCGAGAAATATCGAGATGGAGGCCCAGAGCTCGGTGAATTCACGAACTGTCTCCTGTAATAAGAAGGCGCTCTCTTGCTGGTAGAAACCAGCTGGGAAGTATAGTTGCGGAGGAGATGTGAAATGAAACATTTTCTACCTAAGGAAGTATTTTCATCCTAGAAAAAACATTTTCTTACGTATTTTAACATGTCAGAGCTATGGTTTAATGCGTCCACCCCAAATTTAATTTTATTTATATATTTATTTATTCATTGTAAGAACAGTTAAAAACTGTGTATAAAGTACTATAGGGAGTTATTCTGTTCACGATTTCTTAATTATGGGATCCCTACTCTAACCCAAATACAAGTTGAATTCTGAATACAAATGGAAATGAGCATTTTGGGAAAGAATTGATAAGAAAAATTCGTTCTCGAGTAATACAATCTACTTGCAAAAGCAAATCAGCGACAGATTTTGACTATTATCCCTCATCATTCCTACGTAATGGAATCGACTTTCTGCCATGAGAACATAGAGAAGGATAATTTGAATAACTATATTACTTACAAAAATCTAGAGGATGTGCATAATTAGAGAAGTTACATTTACGTTCAGAATCAAATCCACGGACAATCTCAACTTTCGTTTGAAGCATCAGAGAAACTAGACTAAAAAGTTAACCGAGATTTAGGTTTATATACAATACTTGTTAAATACTGTTTAAAATTGTACAGTCCAAATGTTTATTAAAGTATTAAGGAAGTTTAAATTATAAATATTTTATGTTCGATGTTTAAATATGGTTTATATACTTTTAACGTTTCTCATAAAAAATGCCGTGGTGAAAAAAAAGCATGTCCACATCAGGAGAAAAAGTAACTTTCCCCTCGGTAGAACTGTAGTCACCAGGCTGCAAACGTACACATAAGAAAAGTATGCATTTTCTCCCTTTGTTTGTAATCTGATATTATGCGAAATAAATAATGTATAAATAAACACATTAAATTACTTTAATAACGTACATAAGCACCAAATACAACAGAGTTGAAAACGTGATTATTTTATTACAGCTAAAACGCGATTATTTTATTGCCTTTTATTACAACCCTGTAATTAAATAGCTATCAATTGTCTCGATAAACAACAGCTAAACTGATATTGACGAACTGAAAAATGATGCACACAACAACAATATTTGATTAAAAATGACGGAATATATGTAGAAGCACACATCTACTACTTAATAATTTATTAATGAAAATAACATTTTAGTAATTATACTCATCAATCGAAAAGCATAATACACTTTTCTACAAACCTGTATTAAGTTACTTTCGCTAAAAAATAAGCTAATATAACTTCCTTGCATACGTTCCATGCATATCTTTCTTTCCTCCACTCGCTGAAATTTTCGTATTCTTTTCGATTTATATCTTTAGATTTGCTAGGTAATAAATCTTCCACAGCTTCCGCAGCTTCACTTTTAATACTTTCAAGAATATCTTCCATTTTCTCGCAAAAAAGCGATTGTGAACTCAAGGCTTTCAATGTACTGCTGATATCAATATAATACCATTCATCATTACGTCTACTTGTAGTAGAGAATCAGCTCAAAATGTTGCAAAGGCAATCGGGTAATTAAAGTCATTGTATATTACACGAGGCTGAAAGATATTTGTAAGCTCGTTAGTAATTACACACACGCGATAACGCGCTCGCGAATATTTAACTTGCACATAATGATCTGTTTCAGCCACTTATGAAATGAAATACTACTAGTATTATATTTTAGAACTGCGTACTTGGTTTTAAAACACGCGTTTAATGTTCTTTTGCGCTATTATACTGATCTGTATACACGTCAGAATTAAGGTATGATAGTGCTATTCCAAAGCTCGTGAAAATTAATGCAGATAGAGAGAAGTTGCATGCACTATCTACCTGAAAATAGAATGTACTTTTATGAAAAGGGCATTAGGGTGCTCCCAGAACGTTGGAAAAAATGTATAGAATCTGGAGGGGAGTACTTTGAAGAATGACATGTACAAACAAATTTTTGCTAATAAAGTATTTCGTAAAAAAAATCAGTCCCGGTCATATTTGAACTCCCTTGTATATACATGGATTTATGACATCAGGCTTAAGTCTATCGGATTAGAAACCTTCGACCCCAAACTTGAGAAGTACGTCAAGAGTAAGATCTAGTTGCGCTGTTCAGGAGATATTTAGATAAGATATTTTAATGGAGGGCGTTATTTACATACGTTCCTATATTTTCAATGTCTAAAAATGGTTAACTTTAATTTCTTAATTTAAAAAAAAATTCTAATAAGTGTGGAGTAGTTTCGATTTTTAACGAAACCATCTGATAATCACAGCAAAATGTTTAATAATTAAAACAACTATGGTTTCTGTTTAGAAACATTTGTGAGCATTGCATTCAATCAAATTTCGTCATTTTTGCTTTAAATGAAAGGCAGTGAATCCCAAATGCTTGTATCGTTTGTTATTATCAAATTCCATGTAATTATCTATATGTTATGTTTATTATATTTTAACACAATCATAAAATTAATAGAATGAACGCTTCTCTACCGTTACTTGTTCATTATTTTATTGTGCGAGTTGCTATCGATCTTTTGAAACTATTCGATATATCTTCTTTGAGAAAATATTAGAGTTGTAAGGTTGTTGGTAGACAAGCAAATAGAGGGAGGTTACTTAGTTTGAAGGGTTTTTAAATTCGAAAATTTGTGAGTAAACCTAGAGGCCATGATCAGCAATCATTGGATAAATGCGTTCTTTCACAAAACAATATATCAGTGATTATAATTAGATATTTATTACTTTGCTTTTTTAAGACAAGGTGAACAGTGAGATTTTTTGCGTATTTCGTTACAACAAACATACATGTACATATTTTGGTGAATATGAAACATTTCCATTAAGAATTTTGAAACATATTGATCTCTATGTTCACATTGAATAGTGTTTTTATTGTTCCAGAATGTGCAAACCTACCCCAATTCATACGTCTTCGAGATTGAATACTTATCGACTTTAAACAATATTGTGCACGTTTTTCATTTTCCTTACAGTGAATCTGAAGAATTATTTTACCTTCTTTATTATACACATCCTACACATTTCTAATTTCAGGCATGCATCCTAGCTGCTCAAATTATTAAGACTCGTGCTAACATTCTAAGACATTTTTCAACCATATTCATTTTTCTAGGTGGGACATTTTCTGGAACGTTTCATTCATTTCCATATTTTTAAATTATGTCGTGCACTTTTCCTTGAAATCTGAGTAGTAGTTAAATAACAACACAAAGGAGAAGAGTATAAATTAATCGTATGGGTTTTTATGCGGCGAGACCACCCTTAGATCCGCATCCGTATTTCAACCTAGGCTTCCTAAGAATCCTACCTCCGATGCGGGTCAGGAGACCTTCACCTGAGCAGATGCACCACGTGGGCGATCCCCTCAATGAGCCTGGGATTTGACTCTCCCTTTCCCCACCTGATGTCGGTCTGTCTTAGTATACGAGCTGTCTGGTTGAGAGAAAGTGAAATCTCGTTAGGGCGAGATATGTCGGAGGGATTTAATATTGCCGGGCATACTACTGTAGCGTCGTGCCACACTCAAACCGCCGGATGTTAAACAAAGTTCGGAGTGATGACGCACTGGGACTTTCCGTGGACGT